GGCAGTAGGGGGCTGGAGGTCGAAGGGGCCAGGAGGTGGGGAGCTGGGGGTTTGGGTGGTCTAGGGGGCACGTCCCGCACACTGCTGCATGGGGCTCCACACCACGAAAGGCGAGGTGGGGGACTTCCCTCCAGACCCCCCACCAAAACTAAAGACTTCCCTCCGCTTGGGGAACCATGGTTCTCAGAGACTCAGGCCCTGAGCGGATGACCTCGCCGTGGCTGTGCAGCCCTGAAATGGGGGCGGAGAGGCGTGGCGCCCCTCCGTTGCCAACCAGTTCGGAGTCCGCGCCCAGAAGAGAGGGCAGGGCGTCCGCTGTCTCGGGAAGGCACCAAGGCCGAAGGGAACGACCAGAAGTCCTAGTACTACACAGCTGCCCGTACCTGGCACTTCCCGGAAGCGGCCTTCCCTCCCTGAGCCCGAGGGGAGGACAGGGTCACTGGGCAGACAGCCAGGGAGAGAGGACAGGCTCCTTTCCTCTGAGAAGTGAGGGAGGGGGACGAGAAGGACGAGGTCATGGGACGTGACCCCCCACCCCCGTTCAGAGCCTGTCAGTGCCCTGGTTGGGAGAGGTGCAGAAGATGTCCCCACCGGGGAACTCGGGCAGACACACAGGATCCCTCCGTGTGGTTTCTCAGAATTGTCTGTAGATCTACAAAGATCTCAGGATAGTTTTTTAGTAACATGATATGATTCAAAAACAGGGTGAATATTTAAAGAATTTTAAAAATCTATTCTAGTAAAGGACGCATAGCCATAACTCCCCCTCAGAACACTCCCTCTTGCTTCAAACACCCTTCCTGCCACTTTCTCAAACAGCGCTGGAGTCCTCTATGGTGAGGGTCTTTAGTTGCACTGTTGTGGACGCCTGGACGTCCTGAATCCATGCAAAACGTTTCTCTTTCTTGGTCATTTTGAGCAGGGCAGATCGGGACACACAAAAGTGTCCTCATGAGCCTGCCTTTTCACTGGGTGGCCCTCGGCTGCAGCAGTTGCTGGATTTTGATCGCACCTTATAGACACTCTCGAAAGAGACTTCCAGAGCTGCTTTAGGAAGTGGCAAGCACAGTGGGATGAGTATATTTGAAGCAACTGGGGATATTTGAGAGGAAAATGTGTCTTCTATTGTAATAGATTTTTAAAATTTGAACATTCACCCTACATTTCAGTCACTCCTCATAAAATGTAAAAGACAGCAGTATAGGTAAGAGAAGCAAGGAAATGAATTTATGAGGAGAAGATGGAGGTGCCCGCAGGTGACCGACCATGTGCTTAAAGATTCACATGGTGTTCGAGATGGCTTGGAACACCACACCAGACTTTGAAGTGGTGGGAGGACTTCCCAGGGGGAAGGACCAGATAAACAAAGATGTGGAACATCTTTGCAACCATCGTTTACTAAATGGTGTCAGGAAATGACAGCTGTCAAAATAAATCAAAGCTTTATTCTGAAAGCTCTTGGAAGTCAGAATGAGGATTTTTGAACTCAATTGAGAGCCTCCTTGGGAGCCATTGACAATTCTTGAGCTGGAGAGTGACCTCACCTGGACTCCTCTACAGTTTGTGGCTGCACACAGTTCTCTTTACCCTTACCATTTCCCTCCTTTAGAAGGAGGGGAAAGGCATTTGTGTTCTCAGACTTGACCTGAAGAACATGTAAGGCAGATCTGACATGGTAAGAGAGGGCACAAGAAGTGGGGAAAGTGGTTTTTGCAGCAGTCTTGGCTGAAACAACGGTGGGTTTGGCCTGGAAGGTGGGACAGGAGCCGAAGGAAGAGCAGTGTGCAAGGACACACAGTAGGAGCACCTGCCCCCGGAATAGTTTGCCTCCCAGAGACAGAGGTTGAGGGCGCAGTGGGCTTTGTTTGCATCTGAACAGGAAGGTGGCTTGTTTCAGGCTCTTGCTCTGTAGCCCAGGCTGGCCTCGAACTCGCTACAATCCTCCTGCTTCAGCCTCCCCAGTGCTGGGATTACAGGTATGTGA